TATATAGTATATATATATATATATATATAGTATAGTAGAGAGAGAGAGAGAGAGAGAGCTTGTTACATATATATATATATATAGAGAGAGAGAGAGAGAGCTTGTTACATATATAATTAATATGAGGACCGATGAGGAGCTTGGCGAGATATCTAAAAGTTGGTCACTCGACTTAATAAAATTGACAGTCAATCTCAATGTGCTTAGTCTTCTCATGAAATACTAGATTTGATAGATAATGTCGATAAAAGACAAAGTGATAAATTACAGTGGTGAACTTCCCAAGCAAAGCTTGCATAGATTATTTCAGACCATAGAGTAACTTACACAATCGACATACAAGACTACTAAATTCCACCAGAGCAACAAAATTAGGTGGTTGCTCAATATAGACTTCTTCATAATGCAACGATCGCCAGAAAGTGCTCAAAATTTAGTATAAACTATAAAGTGTATGGATCATGTTGGAATCAATAGACGAGTCAATATTAAATAAGAAAGTCACCAATAAATTGGCCAGAACATGCTCATATGCCGGAGTATTAGATTTGATTGTTAAAAGTGGTACAATCTAACAAATAATATTATATGGGTAGGGTCGGAATGATGGCACGACCAAACTGAAAAAAAGAAATTATTCAGAAAAGGTTGGATTCACGACACAATCCTATTGAAAAGGAGAAATTATATGGGTAGGGTTAGAATGATGGCACAACCCTATCAAAAAAGAGAAATTATATAGGTAGGATCATAATGATGGCACAACCCTACGCCAACAAGATTTGAGGAGTCACCGAAAAGATGAATGGAGCTACGCAAATCAAATCTGAAGAGTCACCGAAAATAAACACGGTGCTATGCAACTCAGATATGAGAAAGTAATTCGGAAAAATTCACGATAATATGCAAATTAAATATGAAAAGTTGTTTGAAGAGATGCCCGGTGCTACACAAATAAGATACGCAAAAGAGGTAGTCACCAAGAGGATGACTTAGTGCTACATAAAAAAAATATGAAAAAGTAGTCACCGAAAAGATGGCATGGTGCAACACAAATTAGATATAAAAAAGGTAGTCATCGGAATGATGGCACGGTGCAACACTAATTATATATGAGAAAATAGTCACATAAAAGATACACGATGACCCAACTTTTGCTAACATAATCATTGGCCAGACGAGCAACATATATAAGTAATAGCCACTTGCTGGCAGCACAAGCTCTTTGATTTTCTACCAAGATCGTAGAGGCTCTAATACCATGTGAGAAATATATGAGAGAACACTATTGAAATGTTGTCTCTACATTGTTACAGAAATAGACACATTTTCCAACTAGGACACTACAATACAATCCTTTCAAAGTAGGACACTATATACTATTCATATCACTACTACTATTCTTATTCCTATTCTAAGTAGGATTTGAATATACCTATTACTATTCTAACAAATAACAAACGGGAGAAGCATAAATCTTTTACGACTAATGTGGACAAAGGTAACTCAATGGACTACTTGATTGCTTTTGATCCACTCGGTCATCCTTCAACTTCACAAGTATTTAGTATACAACATACCCAATGTAATCCCACAACTGGAGTCTGGGTTCACAAATGTTTAATTAGACAAGATGACCCCATGTCACCTTACCTCTTTGTAACTGCAATGGCGTAACTCCACAGGGAACTAAGTATGCTTACAATGAACCCGTAATTCCAATTCCATCTAGATGTAAGAAGCTTGGTATACAACACATATGTTTTGCTGGAGAGTTATTGTTGTTCTACAAGGCTGATAGTACATCTATTGAGTTCATACAAGGGGCCTTTCTAAAGTTCTTTGCAGCTTCCAGTTTACATGAAAATATTGACGAGAAGTCCATCTTTATATTTGAGGTAAAAGAATCAGCAAAACATCAATTACTACAGCAACTTGGCTAAAGGACTCTGCCTTGTAAATACCTTGGAGTGCCTCTTTCCTCCAAGAAACTGAGTGTAGAGCAATGTTTACCCCTAGTTGATAAAATCCTTGCCATATGAGATGCTGGTCAACAAAACTACTAGCTTACTCTGGTAGGCTTTGATTGATAAATCTTTAGTGTTTGGTATCCAAACATATTGGGCAGATCTTCATCCTCCCAAAGAGGATCATGAAACTTTTCATAGACACTGCGCAATTTTCTTATGGACGGGTTCTATATGTCCATCCAAAAGAGCATTGGTCTCTTGGGTAGTGTTTGAATGCCCAAAGTAGTGGGGGGGGGGGGGCAACATGTTTTGAATCTATCTAATTGAAACAGGTCTGCAGTAACTAAACAAGTATGGCTTTAGCTACAAAGGAGGACAATGTATGGATCAAATAGGTGAATATTTACTATATGAAAGGGGAGACTGTGGAAACATGCAACACACCTAGGAATGCTACCTGGGTGATTAGGAAGATAATAGACTCCAGGAAAATTGTCATGCAGGCACCAGGACTTCAGGTTAATCTCTTTGCAAGACTAGAGTTGTTGACAGTAGGGGCTAAATGTTCCATCAAAAACTATATGTAGCTTTGTCACAACACCTAAAAGTACCATGGAAATGCATCACTCTTCGGTAGGGATGGCAATGGGGCGGGAGGATGTGGAGCGGGGTGGATTTAAGGCTATACGGGGCGGGCGGGCTTAAGGTTGTGTGGGGCAGGTTGAAGTGGGTTTTATTTAAATTAATAATGGCAGGTGTGGTGGGTTGTGGGTACATGTGATTTCATATGGATTCAAACTTAATTTTAACATCTTACATGTTATAAGATAGAACATTATTTATTAAAATAATTTATTTAAAACAACTAAAATATTCAAGATAGTAAATGAAAATGGTTCAATAAAAAATAATACAATTTCTTACATGTTTCCAGACCTCTAAAAAAATAAAATTTCAAGTCACTATCCTACTAAATTAATAAAACTTAATTGAAAAATAATTTTTTAAAATGAATTTCATTTTTATTATCAAACTTTAACAAAAAAGAAAATATTAAAAAAGTATGTGGCGCGAGTTCATGGGGGTGGGTCTACGCGGGGCAGGTTCATGCGGGGCGGGGTGGGCTGGTTGAAAATGAAAAGAAGTGATTATGCGGGGAGGGGCGGATTAAAAATTATGCGGGTTAAGCTCAACCCGCCCCACCCCGCCCCGCACCGCCCATTGTCATCCCTACTCTTCAGGCTAGCATTCATCCTAGACATAATTTCATCTTGTGGTTGGCCTTGCTGAAGAGGCTAACTACTATTGATAGACTTGTCAAATATGGGGTTGAAGTGGACTCATCATGCGTGTTTTGCAGCAATGATATGGAAACACAGGATCATCTATTCTTTGACTGCCTTACACAAGGATTTTGTGGTGAAGATGCTGAAGTGGATGGGCTTTATGAGACCTATAGAAACCTGGCAACATGAGGTAGATTGGGTCATCAGCTGGGCCAAAAAGAGAGCAAAAAAAGGTGCATCATATGATGTGTCTTTGCAATGGTGATCACTGTCATTTGGAGTGAGGAATATGATCAGGTTTACCAAGTTCACAGAATTAGTATGGAGATAGCTATTCATATCCATGTCCGAGGAAGGAATCAAAAGAAATGGTATTCACAGCTTCAATAGTTAGCTACCATGCCATGAAGTTGTCTTTTGTGATGTCCTTACAGTAGTTAACTTGCTTCCCTATAGATTCGTTTATATAGATTGTTGTACTTACTGAGTTTGTATTTTGTTTTTAAATCCTCATTATGAGTAGTGACTCCTTAGGCATTTTAGAGTGAGTCCTACTCCAGATAGTTTGTTTGCTTAAGAGACAATTGGTCAACAATGTCTAATGCTGTAACTATTACTTTTGGGAATAACATTCTTTTATTTACCCCAAAAAAACAAGCTTTCTATCCAGATAAGAACCCAAATACTATCATCCTCAATGGTATTGTTTGAGTTGTTGAGGCATATAAGCAACAACCTCGAGATCCAAAGCTCAAATCCCATCTACAACACTCAGTTTGAACACACCTTCTCTTACATTGGTGCATGGGTTTACTCAACATCTGTGTTTGTACATTTAGTAGGCTTGGACGTGGTAGCAGGCTCCTGATGGATCAGTATATGTGGATGGAAGCTGGTTCGGCTATCCAACTTGCAGCCTCCTTTGACAAAGCATTAGCCACCTGGTTGTTGGTTAGCTTCACGGTAGACATGTTGTAAAGGAGGCCAAGGGCTTATCCAAGATAGATCTGTAGTCATCTACAATATTAGAGTATACACATTGTCTTGAGTGATAATTTTATAGCTTCCTGAGAATCAATTCCAATAATCAATTGGTGCAACCCATATTGAAGGGTTATTTGGAGGCCTACCAAGACAAAACTGATTGCTGCAGTGATATTTGTGGTGAATATGATACCAAAGGTATTTGAGGAGATGGGATACATTTGGAAAATCCAACTTCCCAATTCGCATTTCTATCCCTGATAATACCACTCAAAACTTCTCCACGTGGATTATTTTTGGCGGCTCCATCAGTATTGAGTTTGTATTATCCGTGCAATCCAGCTGATGTATCCCATATGGATAGTCAAATTGACACAACATACTTTGCAGGGAACTCTTCTTTTTTATGATTGTATCAAGTCCCACATGGAAACTCGATTGGCATAACTGTAAGCAAGAAGCTTTTGAAAAGATGGACAGTCGACTATAAATGTGAAGTTGACTAGATAAACAACTCTCAAAAATAAAATACTAAAAACTCATATCTCCCTTCCTAGCCAAACCATAATAAATCAGTAATCAGTATGCTACACTAGAGGATAAGAAATTTCATAATCGAGTTCCTCATAATTAAAGTCTTGGACTTCAGTTAACAAAAAATGCATATATCACATAAGTTGCAAATGACAAATCGAAGCTTTAAAATATGAAGGAACAATCATGTACAATTAGGAAAAAGTAGGCACGTGGAGAAGCACATAATTACTTGGTATAGTCGTATTGATATGACCCGGGGGTCCAGCTGAGCTAACCCCTAAATAAGCAAGTGATGCACTTGTCAACTCCTCAAATTGACTCAGCTTGTTTTGAATCTTATCTTTACCCAGCAGCTCAATAGTAACCCTTTTGTTTGACGCAGAAAGAACATACATCTCATCTGGAGCATAATGCAGAAGAAAAAATTAAAGTACATAACTGCTCAAAGAACGATGTCTTTGTTCAACAAGACATGAAATGATAAAGAAATTAAGGTAAAAGGTGGAGTCAAATAGAAACCGTCATTGAAAAACATAGCTTCCGATCCCAAGTAACTAACTATTCATGCTTCATTTAGTAGGTATAGTTAAGATACTGGGAGAGTGACTTCCTAGCTCCTATGCTTTCAGAAACTACACAGTGAGATTGGTTGGCTTGTTCACTTGACGGTACTATATTAATGTTGATTCAGATACATGTAATCTTTCCTTAACAGAGTTTAATCACATCTTTTTTTTTTTTGTTTTTGATGTGGTTAAATCACATATCTTTTAGCGCAATTCTATTTTGCCAAAAGAACCTAAAAGGCAACTCTTAAAACATTTAATTTTATTTTGATAAGAAAAAAACATTTTATTTTCTAAGAATAAATGGGAAAACAAAATAAAATACACATGTGCACCCAAGATATGGCCTAGTGGTCATAAAGTGGTAGAGAACCTAAGGTCTCAAGTACCTGGTGGGAGGAATCCTATTGAATTAATCGAGTTGCGCTAAAGGTAGCCCAGACACCAAGGACATAAAAAAAAAATTACAAATGCAAAACACATTGAGAAGAAAGAAGAAACTAAGCTTAGCATACTACTTCTACAATTTCTCTCAGATCCAGAAGAAAAAAGAACACACGGTGATTACTTTGTACCCTAAGAAATTAGTCACCACTGTTATTAAAAAAAAATTAAAAAACACCACAAAAATCAGCCACTAGCGAGAGCAAAAGTCTTGGGCACGCAAGAAGTAAGCACAAAAGAAAATGGCAATACTAGAGTAAAGAAAAAAGAGTAATGCCGAATCAATGACAGCAATTATCAAGTTAATTTTACCTTCTTCTTCTTTAGTGGATTCTCCATGATACCTTAACTCAAGGGCCTTCAGGAGTGGGAATCCGGAGCTAAGATTGTGCGGTCGTACGAATGAAGCAGATTTTGGACCTTGGGCTTCGAAATAGCGAACCCCGTTATGTGACCCATCATGCTTACCGTCACCATTGTCCCAACCAACACCGACCCAGATTCCCCCATAGCCTTCTACTGCTCCGACGTACTTCACAGTTCCGATCCGGCGGGTATCTCCAACGAAATGGACCCTTTGACCAATTAGAAACCCGACCGAGTCTGACCCTGATATGGATCCACTTGAAATGGCTTTTTCAGTGTCCAAAGAACTCTGCATTTTTGCACGTTTCGGCTAATTTGTGACATGGACTGTGCGATTACTCTATTTGTGGATCGTGATTATTGAATTAAATAAAAAATTTATTCTTGAAAATAAATTGTTTTTTGCTAGTGTTAGCACAAGGATCTTAGGAAGAACTTTTTTTGAAATTTCATTTGGATTTTTGTTTTGAGAACTCAAGATGATAAATCAAGCATAGGAAAATAATAAGTACTTTTATTAGGAAAGCTTTTTTTTAACAATAATTTAATATTTGACATATTGTCGAATTTATAATCTCATAAGACTTAGAAGGTTGTCATATATCGTACCATGCCATAAAACACCTAGACAAAGGGGGTGCGTTGTGAGGCTTGTCACGGACCTTAGGGGTTGCCCTGTGAGCCCCGTTGCAAAGCTAAGGTGGTTTCCAACCTCTAAAGTTTAGTTTTATGACAATGTGACTTATTGGGGTGTATATATGCATTTAACCACAATATTTTGCCTATATTTCAGCTAAGTTTTGAGTATAATCTTATACATTTTTATGTGTATTATTAATGATATGTCACAAATCGAATCCTCGAGTCATAGAGACACCTACAATAACTCAACACTAGGTAAGTCAACCTCTAATCCACCTACTATAACCCATGAGTAGGTAAGTCAACTTGTAATCCACCTATGATAACCCACAAGTAGGTAAGTCAACCAATAATCCACCTACTATAACCCGCCAGTAGGTAAGTCAACGTGTAACCCAAAACAACAAGAGTATAAGGATAGCAAGAAACAGAAATTAAATTATAACAACATAATAAATTAAATTATAACAACATATGAAACAGAAGCGGGAGCAAACCCAAAAATTATATACAAGAGAATATTCCATTGACCCTGTAAGAGTTGTCTAAGAATAAGTTGTACAGGTCCCAAAAGTGGACCAAAGGAAAAGTTGTATCAAAAGCAAAAGACTAGCTAAATATGTATAGAAGTCGCCAAGTGCTTACCCACGTCTCTAATCCCAAAATTTGTTGAAGATGGCACGTACAATCACTGTTGGCAGCAAGTACTAGGTCATGTATCACGAAATAGATGCAAAGTGTAGCATAAGTACCAAAACAAAATGACTTAGTAGGAAACATACACCGATTGAGCAAAACAAGGTAAAAACAATATGAAAAAATAGAATCTAGGCATAAACAAGGGTCAAAGCGAATATGAAAGAAAGCACATAAGCATACTGAAAGTGAGTCTAAGTGCAGCTAAATTAAACCTAACTGGACCCATAAGCCAAAAGGTAAACTTATACACAAGTTAAAATAAAACTTGAATGAACCTCGAAAGCCTGACAGATACACATAATAGCTAAGTCTACCGAGAGAGGAGTGCCATGAAGCGAAATTCGAGCTTCCTACCCAAGTAACCAGAAATACTTATCAACCTAATGAGCTCTCATCCCAGCTATCAAGAGTGACAATCAATTTAGGTTCCCCATCCAGCTAGTCCACTCCCAGCCAACTAATAAGAGTGACCCGAGGGTTTGTCGACTCCGAAGAGGATCTCATATATCAAGGCCACTCAGCTAGTCAGTCTACTCCAGAATGTAAGCCGTCCAGCTAGAAGTGTGACCTAGGGACGTGTCAACTCCAAAGATAATCGCATATACCAATATTAAGTCACTTCATACAGAATCACCAAAAGGCTCTAAGCGTAAGACAATAGAATCCAAAATCGTCGTGAAAGAACAAAACCTTGGGATACGCATCGAAATCGTAGAAATAGGGGAGAGAACATATGATCAATGAGGCTAATACTCTAATCTACAAGGATCTTATCCGTCCAACATGATGTCAGAGTAGAAACAATGCTACAAGGATTGCAAGTCTAAGGCAACATTAGTCTAATCCTAGACAATATAATTAATATCTACAACAAGTCAAATCACAACAACATATATCACATACAATCCCTACTAGCATGGTATTATACCCGAAGATACAGACAATCAAGCCTAATCATGCTATCTAAGAAAATAAAAATAAGAACAACTAGGTACTCGTCCACAATTCATTCTAATCAACATGCATTCATGCTCAATCTAATAGAAAAAAGTTATAGCCTACCCGTAGGTTGATTGCATGCACTCCTGAATTAATAAGATTGATATTTTCCTTTTTGAACGACCTCTTAATGTTTCCACATTATTAAAATAGGATCACAACATTAAGATAATTATTTAGACACCAAAAACACATAAAATATATTGTGTTCCAAAATGAGAGAAATTCGATGCTCGGAACAACAAATTCAACCAACATGCATAATTCAACAATTAAACACATAAAACGAACTGGAACATACCTGAAAAACATAATTCACCTCAAACGAGAGTTTCCCAACAACATTTTATTACTACGTAACGTAGCCTAGACAATTCTGAATGTGTAATAATTTGAATCACCGAGTCCAAGCTAAATTGAGATAAAAATCATCTTTTCAACATTGAATTCCAAGTTGAAAACATGGTTGGTCTTTAATAAACCAATTTAATCTCTTTTTCACGAATCCAATGAGGACCCTACGATCGTGGCAGGGAAATCCTATGAACATAAGCCTTGCATATAGAGAAAAGCCCGACAATGGAGACCACTAGGTTTCTAAGGCTCTGCAAAGGCCATTTTGGCCTGCATCAGTTGATGAATTTCAATTGGTTTTTGGTAAGTTGAAAATATCTAATGGGTGTTTGAATTCATCAATAATCATGTGCACATAAAATGAGATATGAAACTATGCATAATTCAACATTCCAGACTTGGCAAAGCAATATATATTTTCATACAAGGTCATCTTAAGAAAAAATGGATCCCACCCAAACTCCATTTTAAGCAAAAAAAAAACATAAAAGGGGCTCAAAATTAGCCTAGAAGCCTTGGGATATGAATGAACAATTGTTATAGACCAAACTCAACATTCTGGAGCTAACCACATTGATGAAATTCTTATCCGAGCTCGTTTACATAGAATATTGACTAATGTCAAACATAGACATTAACCTGAAAGTTAAAAGACCTAATTGCACAGAGTCACACTTGAAGCCTTGGGAGTTATGTCGACTATGCTCCTAGCCTAAAATGACCCATTTAGAGTTGATGGAATCAGTAAAATTGGATTTAGAGGTCATATTCTTGAACTTTTGATAAAAAAAAATGGTTGTTCAAGGTATAAAGGCTCCACAACACAAAAACTCACATAAAAACCAAATGAACAACTAGGTGACCGGATTGTTATTCTTAACAAGCCATAAATAATTTGGGATCACTACATAAAAGCTCTAAATGAATAACGTAAGACATAAACACAAAATGACCTAGAGGGTCTACAACTCTACTACAGAAAGGATTTTCGTCTGCAAAAGTAAGAGTCAAGAAGTACTTGGAGACATAAATAAACAAGAAATTGCCCGCGAATCTCCTGCTCGGTCTCTAGGTAGCCTTCTCAAATGGACAATGTGTCCAACAGACCTTATGTCATGCCACGAGCCTACACCCTGGGTGAGGCTGACACTTGAGAACCATTATTGGCCCTAAATTAACCCTAGGCCTGGCTCAACTCTAAGCGGAAGACTTTCTTAACATTAAAAGAACTCAAAAGATAAACTCATGTAATGAACTCAAAATGTTGTAAAGGAACATTCAACTAGTCAAAGAGGCAACTCATGTCTTTAAACATTTAAAACTGAAAATGGAAAAAACTCATGAACTACTATATATCTATCTATGAAGCTTCTAATACTATGAGGGATGTCGGTACAAGACCCCTGATCATCCTAATAACTAAAAATAAAGAAGGTATCCTTTAGAAGCAAGGAGTCTCACCAAACAACCCTAGAACTCAACTGGATCAACAAAGCACTTGATGCAGATCCTAGTTGCATGTATGTTCATTATAAAGGATGTAGGCCAAATGACATCGGTATATGGAATATACAAGAATGTGAGGGGAAATCTAAACATGACATTAGATTGAAGTGGAACTGAAGAAACAACTTAATTCGTCTCAAATCAATTCAATGTAAAGCAATAAATATAATGCAATATGGACGGTTTGATCCTCCGTCTATCCTTGAAGTTGCTCTTCTAGGTGCAGCTTCTGCCTGCTGGAACTGAAAAAAATTGGACTCTATTGCCCAATTACCATTACTGTCACATCCAGGGAGCACCCCCTAGAAGTAACATGGCATACTTGACCTCTCGGAGGTCTTATACAAGCCCATAGTTATCATCCATCGCATTGGCATAGGTAAATTTAGCGGAAAATTTACAACTTTCTTAGCACATCATGTACTAGAACATTACTTCATATATATAAGTAAGAGTGTGAAACACACAAATGACCAAGTGCATTGACATATGATGAAATGAACATTCACGTAAAAAGGGGTGAGTAAATATGAAGAACAAATGTGCTAATGTTAATGAATGTGGTGACAACATGATATGAGGCTAGGGTAAAAGATGAGAGCAATCTCAAATGAGCCTAAGTAAATGTTACCAAAACGTACTCACCTATGAGAGTGTAAAGTTAATGAATAGATCAATCTCTATGAACGCTCTAGTGAAAGTATTGAGATTAACAAACTTAATACTAATGATGAGATGATATCTATTGAGATATGTTGTCTTCATACTAGAAGCCAACTTCCATGACGTATGAGTTGAATGTAATGGAACTTTATACTGATCACCGATATACTAGCTATGAGCGGTGATGCCTTCTTTCTAGAAGGGCGGAGGTTCAGTAACTCTTATGAGATGAGACTGTCCGGCATGCTGGGTATGAGTCTATTCTTCGAACCTATACTGCCAATATAGGGATCTTGGGGGGGGGTTCAATTCCCATGTACGCTAGCATGTTTTAGGTCACTTTTGCCGGTGATTCGACCTCTTTTAGGTATGGGGGACACACTGGATTTCATGATGCTCACACGATTTATGTCGTTAAAGTTAAAGTTCCCAATGAATCAATGAGGCCAGCCTCAAAGGATGCACATAATGAAATGAACGGTACCAAAGGTTTTAGGATAGGATAATCAAGAGGTGATCTAGACTCAAATAATGACACTAGGTCATTCTTGATCATTGCAAGACAAACCCGATGAGAGTCTCAAACTACATCCTAGGTATAGCTGGTGTTCACACTAGCCT